CTTAGCTCATAAGCAGTATAATATAGTCTAAGAATGCCTATGCTAAACATAATTGGATTTTTACATCACAATTTCAAACAAAATTGTAAGATTTTTCTGCTATAGCTGCAAACTCATATGACATAAAATAAGCATTGTTTATATTTTAAGTGGATTCCTGTTGAGCAAATATGTTGTAAATGTATATTGAGTCCAACATTATCACATAATATATTATAGTATTTTCATTCCACTTTGTCTCACTCGCCAGTAAGAGACCGACCCACAAATAGTGATAAAGATATGAGGGAAGAAGAGCTAAAGGTGCAGCTCAGTGGTAAAGGGACCAAACTGAGGCTTTGGGTTTGATCCCAAAAAAGATGTGAGTGGAGAAACCAAAGAATCAATGTAAATAAGATGCTGCAACCTAGGATATATCGGTGGGTGCAGTAACTTTTTAGGACTCTGAGCGTCGCTGTTCACCTACTACGAGAGAAATAAACCCACACAGCTCGGTCCGGATTCTCCTGGCTCCAACTGTAGAAAAGCCCCACAATTCATACACACTGGCTCTTGGGTTGCAACGAAACTCCCTCCGGAATATAAGGCGTACAAGCTTCAGAGAATCCCTGCAATCTCAGAAAGAAAAAGGAACCAGTTGAAACATACGTGTCCAGGGAGAACTTGGGAAAATTCCGTAACCAGACAACAATGGCTGCTCGAAGGAATCGCCCCGACCGCACCAAGCTGGTCCTGCTCTGCCTTTTCCTGCGGATACTCTGGGAGTGCCGAGCCCAGGAGATCCGATACGCGGTTCCTGAAGAGATAGACAAAGGCTCGTTCGTGGGCAACATCTCCAAGGACCTGGGGCTGGAGCCCCGGGAGCTGGCGGAGCGCGGAGTCCGCATCGTCTCCAAAGGTAGGACGCAGCTTTTCTCTCTGAACCCGCTCAGCGGCGGCTTGGTCACCGCGGGCAGGATAGACCGGGAGGAGCTGTGCGCCCAGAGCGCGCGGTGTCTGGTGAGTTTTAACATCTTTGTTGAAGATAGGGTGAAACTTTTTAGAATAGAAATAGAAGTAACTGATATCAACGATAATGCCCCAAAATTCCAAGCAGAAAATCTGGATGTAAAAATCAATGAAAACGTCGCTCCAGGAATGCGTTTTCCTCTCCTGGAAGCCATTGATCCGGATGTGGGCGTGAATTCCCTACAGAGCTACCAGCTCAGCCCCAGTAAGCACTTCTCCTTAGGCGTGCAGAGTCCTGCCAAAGGCGTCAAGTACCCAGAGCTGGTGCTGGAGCGTGCTCTAGATCGGGAGGAAGAGGCCGTTCACCACTTGGTTCTCACCGCCTGTGACGGGGGTGTCCCTCTCAGATCTGGCACTATCCTCATCACTGTGACTGTCTTTGATACAAATGACAACGCTCCAGTCTTCACCTCGCCTGAATACCGCGTGAATGTTCCAGAGAACTTGCCTATAGGCACTCAGCTGCTAACAGTCACTGCCACGGACAAGGACGAAGGGGCCAATGGAGAAGTGACATACTCGTTCCGAAAATTACCTGACACAGAGTTGTTGAAATTCCAACTAAACAAAAATACTGGAGAAATAAACATATCCGAAAGTCTAGATTATGAAGAAACAAGTTTCTATGAAATAGAAATACAAGCAGAAGATGGAGGAGCATATCTTGCAACTGCAAAAGTGTTGATTACAGTAGAAGATGTAAATGACAACAGTCCAGAGGTGACCATCATGTCTCTGTTTAGTCCAGTGACAGAAGATTCACCCCTGGGAACTTTCATAGCCCTTTTAAACGTGCACGATTTAGACTCTGGTCGGAATGGAGAGATAACCTGTTCCATTCCAGAGAATCTACCATTTAAGTTAGAAAAGTCTATTGACAGTTATTATAGAGTGGTGACTCACAGAATCCTTGACAGGGAACAAGTATCCTCTTACAACATTACAGTAACTGCCAAAGATGGTGGAAATCCACCTCTGTCAATGGAAACTCACTTTATCCTGCAAGTGGCAGACATCAACGACAACCCACCCACCTTCTCTCAAATCTCCTACTTTACCTATATCCCAGAGAACAATCCCAGGGGCGCCTCCATCTTCTCAGTGACAGCTCATGATCCAGACACCAAGGAGAATGGCCAGGTCATTTACTCTCTGGCTGAAGACACCATCCAAGGGACACCACTATCCTCTTACATATCCATCAACTCAGACACTGGCATTCTGTATGCACTCCAATCCTTCGACTATGAGCAGTTTCGTGAACTGCACCTACAGGTGACTGCCAGTGACAGTGGAAACCCTCCACTCAGCAGTAATGCATCACTGAGCCTGTTTGTGCTGGATCAGAATGACAACAGGCCCGAGATCCTGTATCCCATTGTCCCCACTGATGGGTCCACTGGAGTGGAGCTGGCACCCCGTTCTGCAGAACCTGGGTACCTGGTGACCAAGGTGGTGGCAGTGGACAGAGATTCTGGACAGAACGCCTGGCTGTCCTACCGCCTGCTGAAGGCCAGCGAGCCAGGACTTTTCTCAGTGGGGCTGCACACAGGGGAGGTGCGCACCACAAGGACCCTATTGGACAGAGATGCGCTCAAGCAGAGCCTCATGGTATCTGTGCAGGACCATGGCCAGCCCCCTCTTTCCTCAACTGTTATGCTCACTGTGGCGATAGCTGACAGCATCCCAGAAGTTCTGGCTGACTTAGGCAACCTCAAGCCTGCTCAGGAGTCCAACACATCCAACCTCACTCTGTACCTGGTGGTGGCTGTGGCCGCTGTCTCCTGTGTCTTTCTGGCCTTCGTCATCATGTTGCTGGCATTCAGACTTCGGCGCTGGCATAAGTCTCACAAGCTCCAGGCTTCTGGAGATGGATTGGCAGGCATACCTGCCTCCCACTTTGTGGGTGTGGATGGGGTGCAAGCTTTCCTGCAGACCTATTCCCACGAGGTGTCCCTCACTTCAGATTCAAGGAAGAGCCACCTGATCTTCCCACAGCCCAACTATGCTGATACGCTCATTAGCCAGGAGAGCTGTGAGAAAAAGGATCCTTTGTCTTTGTTAGATGATTCCAAGTTTCCTATAGAAGATACTCCCTTGGTTCCAGTGAGTTTTATTTTTACCTTCTATTTCCTTTAAACATTGTGAATGGTTTTACTTTTAGGTTTGCATATGATGGTACAAAATTTAAATCTATTTTTAAAAATCGTTTTTCTCCATTTCTATGACACTTGCCTCTTGCTAAAACATTGAAAAGTGAAATTTGATGATTTAAACAGATTTTTTTAACTTTCTGGAAAATTTACCTACTCCTAGTGAATGCCTGTTGTGATTAGACTTGCAGAATCTTATGTTTTGTAGCATTGTTGAGTACAATATTGATAATTCCTAAAAGACGTACACACAGAAGTGTCTGTCCATCTGTGTGTTCTCCTTAGGTAGCCACATGATGAAACTGGCCCTTTAGACAACCTGAGCTCTTATTTTTAAGGCAGGTCTGATAAAAATAGGTAAATGTTGGAAACCAAATGCATTAGCTTCACTAGAAACACAAATCAAGCTTAAAGTCACTCAATTTTAATCTTCCCAAGGAAAAAGCCTTTGAAGTTATAGTTTTCAAGCTATACCTTGTAGTAACAGTTGCCATTGAATACATTTCATAAAGATTCCATTTTTCTATTAATATTTAATTAATTTATAACACTGTACTTCAGTTTTCCCAACAATAGTCATACTTACTAACATCTTGATATTCTTTTCACATGATTCTCTAACATCATACTCTTGTGTGGAAGATACAACTTTTATGTTGACTTCCCTTGCTCAACAGGGATTCTAAAGAGTCAATAGATTGTTAAATTGAGGAGATTTGGGGTTCTGCTGTCTTCATCTATTTAAAATTAAATTCTCAAAAAAATTAAATCCTCCAATCACCAAGACTAAAAATATAGATTGAGAAGATGGAAAATTTGTATAGGTTCCAAGAACAGAAGCAAAGGATTTGTGGCAAGGGGATATCAATGGCTCCTTAATGTAAGGAAAGGAAACCTATCTGAAACTGAAAATTCTGAAACTGAGGGTGCAGAATGCCAATTCTGCAAGATTAGAAAGTAAACAAAGAAGTACCTCTACACAAAATTCTTCAAAGTACATGATAATAAATATGTTTAGTTCAATGAAGAGAATGATGTATTTGGTTAGATCTCTTAATTGTTAATACTCTACTAAACTTGGAAGCATAGCATCAGAGTATCTTACAGTGTCTCAAAATACTTATGACATATATTTTTTTTTTGGTACCGGGGATCGAACTTGGGTCCTTGCGCTTGTGCAGCAGGCAGTGAAACCACTGAGCTAAATCCCCAGCCCACTTATAACATTTTAATGTTGATCAACATTTGATTATTTATAGGTCTATGGAAGGGTTGCACACACTTGAGAGCCATAGTTATTAACTCTTAAATCATTGAAACTACTATTTCAGATTTTTATTTATAAGAACCAAAATTATTGTGTAGCTGTCTCAGGTAATTCTATTATTTTGAAAAATACAAATTTAAAATACCATTTTAGTTACTATAAGCAAATGTTTTTAGATATAATTATTTAAAAAGCAATACAGGACATCCTGGATGAGTTGTAGATAGGGCAATGGAAAGAAAGGTTATTAATTTCTAACTAAATAAAATCTAGGATTGAAGACAAAGGGGTTTTTTTTCTTATATCTTCTGTACTTTCAGTTTAACAGATAATTACTCTATGGGGCTGGGGATCCGATCCAGGGCCTTGCAGATATTAGAAAAGAGCTCTACCACTGGTTAGGTTACATCCTAAACCAGCTAATTACTCTGTAAAACAGCAATAGTAATTGCCTTTGGATGGAGGAATTAGATAGCAATGGGCCATGGAATAGGAGACCTGTAGACCTTCACTGTATATTTTTATGCCTTTTTAATTTTGAAGGGCATACTTTATCCAAAATCAACGTAATATTTTAATATATAAAAAGTAATAGTGATGAGGTTTAAAAGTTTCATGATGACAACTGAATCACTAAGGAGTAAAAATTTCAGCTATCAACTTGTACATTCGAAAAAATAAAGATTTCCTCATAGAAAAGCCATGCTGCAGTCCCACACAAAGCCTCTGGGCGCCGCTGTCGGCCAGTGCAGAGCAAGCTCGACGTCCCAGATCCTTCAGCCTCTAGCCTAGGATTTCCTGCGCAGCCACCAACACTCACAGAAGGAAACCCTCTCACCCTGAGAGACTCTGGGCTGCGCACACCCGGCCCCGAACACAGGGATTCCCGGCCCGAAACCGGGCTCTGCCTGGCCCCGGACTAACGCTCTTCCACCGCGGTCGAGTGCACTTTCTCCAAGTGCGAAGAGGGGACCGAGAAGCCCAGCGAGCAATGGGAGGGAGCTGCGCGCAGAGGCGACGCGCCGGCCGCGGGCAGGTACTGTTTCCCCTCCTGCTGCCTTTGTTCTACCCGGCGCTCTGCGAGCCCATCCGCTACTCCATTCCCGAGGAGCTGACCAAGGGCTCGGTGGTGGGGAACCTCGCCCGGGATCTAGGGCTGAGTGTCCAGGATGTGTCGGCTCGAAAGCTGCGCGTTAGCGCGGAGAAGCTGCACTTCAGCGTAGACGCGGAGAGCGGGGACTTACTGGTGAAGGACCGCGTAGACCGCGAGCAGATATGCAAAGGGAGGAGAAGATGCGAGCTGCAGTTGGAAGCCGTGGTGGAAAATCCCTTAAATATTTTTCACATCGTTGTGGCCATTGAAGATATTAATGATCATGCTCCTCAGTTCCCTAAAGATGAAATAAACTTAGAAATAAGTGAATCCGTCAGCCCAGGAATGGTAACAATTCTTGAGTCTGCAGAAGATCCCGATATAAATGTAAATTCGCTGAGCAAATACCAGTTAAGTCCTAATGAGTATTTCTCATTGGTGGTGAAAGACAATCCCGATGGTGGCACGTATCCCAAATTAGTACTGCAGAAGACCCTGGACCGAGAAACCCAGAGCATGCACCACTTGGTGCTAACAGCTTTAGACTTTGGGGACCCGCCTCTAAGCAGCACCGCTCAGATCCGAGTCCTGGTGGTGGATGCCAATGATAACCCCCCAGTGTTTAGCCAGGGCGTTTACAGGGTCAGCCTTCAGGAAGACGTCCCTCCAGGCACCTCTGTCCTAAGAGTGAAGGCCACTGACCAGGACGAAGGGATCAATGCCGAGTTCACCTACTCCTTCCTTGGCGGGGCCGGCAAAGCCCAACACGTGTTCTCTCTGGATTCCAGTACAGGAGTCATTGTAACTCATCAGCCCCTGGATTTTGAAGAAGTAGAAAGATATACAATGTACGTGGAAGTAAAGGACCGAGGATCTCTTTCCACACAGTGTAAAGTAATTATAGATGTTCTAGATGAAAACGACAACAGCCCCGAAATAATCATCACTTCTCTCTCTGATCCCATTTTGGAGGATTCCCCTCCTGGAATGGTTGTGGCTCTCTTCAAAACACGGGACCGAGATTCTGGGGAAAATGCAGAGGTCACATGTAGTTTAAGTAGAGATGGTCCATTTAAGATTTATTCTTCTTCCAGTAATTACTACAAATTAGTAACAGATGGGAGCCTGGACAGGGAGCAGACCCCAGATTACAACATCACCATCACAGCCACCGACAGGGGCAAGCTACCCCTTTCCTCCAGCACAACCATCTTCCTGCATATCACTGATGTTAACGACAATGCTCCCGTTTTTGAACAGCAGGCCTACTTGGTCCACATACCAGAAAACAACCAGCCCGGGGCCTCCATAACCCAGGTCCATGCTTGGGACCCAGATGTGGGACCCAACGGCCAGGTTTCCTACTCCATCGTGGCCAGCGACCTGGAGCCTAGAACGCTGCTGTCCTACGTGTCCGTGAGCGCACAGAGCGGAGTGGTGTTCGCGCAGCGCGCCTTCGACCACGAAC